TTTTATATGATTGGAATAATATAATGAAACATTTCTGGCTAAGCTTGAAACAGTCGTCGACTTAATGTTTGGTTGCAAGCCGATCGCGTCGGCGACAATGGCAGTCTGTCGTACTGATGCATTATGAATGTTACACAAACACCAAACGAGGATTGCTTGGGGGATTTTTTTTTTCCTTGTGAATTCCAAATCTGGTCTGTTTGCGGGTGAACCGATCCGTTACGCTTGCACGCCAGATTTATTGCGGAAAGACCCGGGCAAGCGTGCCGCTGAACTATAATCCGGCAGTCGTTCCATTCGTGTGTTTACAAATCTGGATCGGACGAAGGCTATTGACTCACTTTATCTGCTGTCGGTCGAAATTATTTTATTCATCAATAACGCCCAAACGTTGCCCCAAAGAGGACCTTTTAAGGACCGTGTATTAATCTGGCCCTCCTCAGATAACTCCATTAAATCCCGCCCCCACTCCCCGAATGATATCCTTAAAGGATATTCCTCTTTAAGATCACCCTCAATATTCCTCAATTTGGCGGGACTTAGTTTTACTTCTTAATCAAGGATGTCACGATGTTATTCTGATTGGCATCCTGCTTGGTCTTGGGTTTAGACATTGAGGTTTACTGTGTCACCTCATCAAAGTTCAATGCACCTCGTGGGTAGCCCGTTTGGCCCATAATGCCCCCTTCCCCTTCCTAGTATGTAGATTCTAGGGAGTCTAGATAATACATGACTTCTTCCAGATTGTTCTGAATTCTCGATGTTCACGGTACACATCAAAAGTGGTCAAGACACACATGGCGAATGAGGTGGGTACTTTCCCTCACACTCCACCTGTGCGACCCGGGTTCGAATCTCATCTAGGTGACATGTGGATTAGGTTCTCAGGCCCTCGAGCCACCTGCTTTCGGAGGTATTCCTCCAGTCCTCCTATATCTCTTAAACTGAATATGTCTTCATTGACATCATAGTTCCTTCGGGCTCGCAAACTATGGGTGCTACTGAGGCGCTCAAGTTGTTCATCGTCAGTTACATATAACACTCAGAATGTAGCAGGCCAATACCACAGCCCTATAGACATGTTATGATTTTGACGTTCAGTTCCGAAAGCTAAGGGTACCCTGCCAAAACCGATTCATATCCCTTTGCGAAGCAGACTTAATCCCAGGCCAGGAATTACAGTGTCTCTTGCAATCAGCCACCACAAGAAAATTGGACAAGAGGTTCCTGTAGCAGGTTTTTTAATCTGTTCCTGTCGTGAAATCATTCAACTTCACAGTTTTTCACTAAAGCTGAATAAATGTTCAACTCTATTCCATGCACAGGACGAGAAGGCTAACGCAAGCTGGTTTTTGTTTGCTGTTTCGTTTTGATGGAAAGAATGTAGTATCCAGACTCCACTTCAGCGGTTGTGTACAAAGTCTATGGAGAGTGAAGAATTTTTTTAAGTATTTCCTAACAAAATTGGAACTGTTTCTCAGTCCAAGATTCATGCCTTTTCAACATTTTTGCATGACTGACCTTTATAGAACAAAGTGGCGTCGGGCAACATTCTTTCCAAAACAAACTACACGGTGGATTTACACTCTAAAGTTTTAGAGTTTACGTGTCCAATATAACGCGCGATTGTTGTCTGATATCTCCGTCATATTCAGTACGACCCTTTATGGAAATGATCATCTTAAGCTCTTTATCAAATGTGGCATATTTCAGCGAAACCGCGCAATCTAATCATTTCTACCATTTCCTGGATGTCTTCAAGGGGGGCTGGGTGGGAGGCACTGGCTTTAATTGGGCCAGGGGGTCGTCGCACTGCAATTTCTGTACCACGGGGGCACCCTGAGGCGTTGACAAAAACGGAAGGATTCGCCTCGCTCGTCCAATTGGTGACTTCCGCACATGGAAAAAGAATGAGCTCTCCGGGCGTGAAAACATCATCGATCTTGCTTATCTCGACTTCCTTTGTCTCGGGCGAAAGTCTCAATTTTGAAGGGTTGTGCCAAGTGTCGTTGTGAACGGTATATCTTGGAGTTTTCCTTTAAAGGCTGGATATACACTTTTAGCTCGGCGGAAATAGCACTTCTATTTGGTAGCAGCGGAATGTGTTGATACTGGACGAGATTCAAGGCGTCTCTATCAGTTTATCGGACGGGCGATGTATGAGCAATCACGTGGTGGCGTGGTGCTGCAGACTTCTTCGCTGTCAATCTATCTGTATCTGTGGTGCTAACTGATCTTTGAAGAATCGGAATAATAGGACGTCTGTGCCTATGTACGAAACTACAAGAAGAAAAAGGTCACGGTGTTGAGATGTTATAACCTTCGCTCATATGGTTGTTCAACAATGACACATCTTTAGCATTATGAAATACCTTACAATTTGACACATCCTTAAAATCATAGTCAAAACTGGGCTATCCCTCCATGCACACCTTCTCGATGTATCTCTTTTGCATTTTGTTTGAAACCCAATTTTACATCAGAGGGATGTAATATGTTCAAATCCAAACACTATACTGCACACTCACTAGACACGATATACTGTCGACCACCTTGGCAAATATGACTGCATTTGTTTCACATTCAACTTACCGTGTACGCAGCAATCAAAGAATCATCAGAGCAATTGCGAATGTATTCAGAGTAGCATGAGTTGGTTCCCAAAAAAACCTGTCCCTTTAACTTCACACCCTAAGCCCAGGGGGACCCGCGACGTGTCACTATCACTCACTTCCAGTCAGTACAGCATTTAGGCACTGAAAAGTGCACCCCTATAGTGACACGAACATCGAGTTCATGAAGTTGTACTACACCCCTTAGTTGCTCGCAACCTCCTAAGAGTGCAAGTAGAAGGAAGAAGTTTGGAGATAACGGAGGCAACTCTCTCCACACTTTGGGGTCGATCTTCCGTCGCCGTCGCGATATTTTTAGAGGTAACCGTCTTGCCGCTCACTATGGGAAACCTGAACTGAACATTTCTCGCAATCTAGCGTGGAGAAATTAATAGAACGTGGATGTGGAAATTATTCATTTAAGGACCGAGTTTCCCCAGGGATGGTGATCTCTTAGTGTGCCTTCTGGCAAGCTTTTATCGGTTACAAGTCAAAGAAGAAAAAAAAAGAATAATCTCAGGGGGCTGTGATCACAATAGTTGATCGGTTATAGGATAAGTAGCGAATGATTCGTCGGACTCCCCGAAAAGAATTAATAAAAAGTGTTCAAAACAATGTCATCTATTGAGATCGTTTATATCGATCTCTGATTGCGTGAAGTCTTGTAATCAGTCGCAGACTACAGCTTTCGTGAATTCCTGCCGTGGTTTCTGACATTTCCTGAGTCATTGTTAAGTCTAACAATCTACTGCAAAAGTCTGAGCATGTATAGATTTTGGAGAAATAGATAACATGTTTCGTCCTTTCTTCATCTCTAACCTCCTATCAGAGAGACAGCGTGTACTAAATCTGCAGCATAAATAGGCCGAGGTTTATAGGGAACAATGACCTCAACTTATGCTTTACAGAGGTCTCCACTAAACATAGAAAACATGTTCTCACTTAACATAAATGCTTTCCAAGTGATAACGTTTCTTTCAGATGTCTTATACTTTTCGAAGCTTAATTTTCAAATTAAATATTTGACTTAACCTGAATCTGGAATCAGTTAAAGCTTTGAAATAGTCATTTTTTACCGATCTATGTTGAAATACCTGAAAAGAATAGACCCTACCGTGAGCTAAATTTCCGGAAATGCTTTTGTAATATAGTTCTAAATACTTGACCCTCCCAGAAGCGTATGGGGCCACGCCCACATAAGAGCATGATTCTTCCAGACTGGACCACTTTTAAATAGTCTCTAATGTAGGTATCTGATCACCTTTCATTATCAAAACTTGTTTCTTAGTTCATTAGGAACAGCCATGAGTTGATTTCATCACTTTTAAACACGTGAGGTTGTCAAACAATCGTTTCCAGACCTCGTCAATTCAGGAGAAAATTGAGGTCAAAATCTTCACAATCCTCCCCCTGCTTTGGCGATTTTCTTACAGGTTGAACAATTATTGTGCAAGTGTGTTGGACAGTGATGAATCTGTAACAACCTTTCCCTCTGAGAAAGTGCAAACAGATTGCAAAATTTGAATTGGAAACCAAAAAGACATGACGAGCAGGCCAAGTGGGCATTCACTGGTTGACAGCAGAACAGTTGCACTGTCATTCTTCTTAATTTGTTTTGCAAAATTCCACCCGCTAACATTTCAGCTGTTGATTTGAACCCTGATATTTTTTGCCTGGCGTTTACGTTTGAAACCATTAGCATTGAGGATTTAAGGACGAAATTTTTACCTTTTCCTCGACCAAAAGGCTTTAAAATATGGTAATTTTTCGTTAGTCTGAGAATAAACACCGCAGTTATGTGATAACTTTAATAGACTATGTGAGTTTATACGCGTTTTGGGCCCATTTCTCATATTATGCTCTATTGAATTTACGTAACATTCATTGGCGTTGGACACACAATAACAAAACTACACGATTGAAATAATATTATGAAGATATTAGGAACATTTTTATTTTTCTGTATTAGGATTATTAAACGACGCCCATGATCACGTGCTCGGACAAAACGAAATCAAACGTTTTTGCGTTGGATCTTATTAACGGTCACTGTAACTGTTGAGTACTTTTTGCCACTATTTGAAATTGGATTTTTTTTCATGCATGCATGCATTGTAATGTTTGGGATATAAAACAACAATACTATTAAGTGCAGCATAGAGCAAGTTATTCCTTGAAGTTCGAATAAGATATGCTGTGCCCTTCGTTGTATTAGACATTATTAAGATGCGATGGTTACTTATCTAACACGTGATCAGATTTCCACATCCCTCCATCAAGACGTACGTATTGCGTTAAGACGCAGCAATGAAGTCACGTGACGCCCGCTTTCCAACCAGGGTCCGATGTTGTCCGTATCACCGAGACGCCAGCAACTTACACCGCTAAACTAAAGTCACCCTATAGCAGTACTCGCCACCACATCGGCAAGACTTGCTTTATAGCGATCGCTCGCATAAAGCTGCGACAGAGCGGGACGGGTCTGACGGCTCGCACCGCGGGGTGTTAAGACCGGCCAGCCGCAGGCGACGCCGCATTACACCGTCTGGATTACTTGTGCCGCGGACGAGGTGGTGATTCTCGTTCAGCCTTCGTGTCTCTCGTCTAGACTCGAGAACAAGGAGAGCCTCTCACAACGGCACCATCGCACGGGTCGCGCTATGGCCATTCGCCACCCATTCGTGAGAGACCTAGGTTGTGACCTGAGACGAAAATAAGAACTGTCAACTCTGCAACTTGATTGTAATGTCCAGAGCTCAATTCTAAGCTTTGAGTTTGTTTACTCGAAAACAACTCCTTGAAACGTCAACAAAGGTGGAGTTGTACGGATGTGGAGCGTCAAGTAGTATTACGTTATAGTTTGGGATAAATGACGTTCGAAGTGCGCGCTACCACATGATTCTTTCTGATAAAACTTTCAGGGGAAAACAAGAAACGATAATATTAAGTAAACGTCAGTTGATCTTAAGTCGGCCATCGGTCTGCATTCAGATTTGTACGCGGCTAATGACCCAACAGACAAGGCATCGGTGAAAATAGCAGAGGAAGTACCCAGAGTTTGCCGATCACGGATCACATGTTCAAAAAGCCAGGATTAATAGCAAAGCCTGGAGGGTCTGCCCATCCATTTACGTCTCAGCCGAGCAAGACAGTGTTTCTGAACGTATAGCCGTTACTTCGGCTTCCAGAAACTCGTAAAAGACCTACATGGGAAAAGACTCCGCGAACCAATGATCGGAGGTGCCATGTCGACGGACAGTGAGGCCGAGAAACGCGCCGTCAGCCCCGATGACGACAGCGGGCACGAGTCGGTCAGCGATCTCTCGATCAGGACCAAGTTCACCAACTTCTTCATCGACAACATTCTCCGTCCGGACTTCGGACGATGCAACTACGAAGAGGAGGAAGGCGAAACGGAGGAAGATGCAGGGAAGAGAGACGATAGTACCGAGAGAAAGCAGACCCAAACCACGGGAAGAGTGAGAAACGTAGAAGTAGTGAGCGAGAAAGGATCGAAACAAGACCACTGGCCGGCTTGGGTCTACTGCACGCGGTACTCAGACAGACCTTCATCTGGTAAGACTTTTCGTGAGTAAAATACACTTCTCGTTCGATCAAATGTCGATAATGAACTATATTTGGTTGCATATACAATTTCATAATTTTAATCAGTTGTTAGGAACCATAGCTGCAAATTGAGACCTTTATTTACTAACGGTATACATGTGCCTTTATACAAAACAAAATATATTTCGAATGATCCTGCATGTGTTTATATTTTCTGACTCGTTTTCATTGCATTCAATCCCTATTCACATAGTCTGTCCGATATCGATGCGGTCACAAACTTTTCAAAGATAAATCTGATTAAAATGAACGCTCTCAAATCGTTTTTAAATCTACATTTGACCAGACCAAAATGAATTCTTTTTGTAAATCTTTACAGCTAAAGGTGAGGTGAATCCATGGTATAACACAAGCGTGTTGGTAGTTTTGTTTGGAAACACGGACTAAGTGAGAACCTTTCTAAAGGACAAAATATCTCGTTCGTACAGGAGATGTTCCAAAAAATAAACTATTCTTTCAGAAACAATTCTTTCCCAAATCTCTACTAAGAATATTATAGTAGAGAGAAGTGGTCTTGTTTTGGTCTTTATTAAAGAAAGTCTTTTCGGATTCCCATTTCATCTGAACCTCAAGTCACTGTACAAAAGGCAAGTCACTTTACAAAAGCTAAAAGCACAAAATTATATCCGACTGGACAATCTGGACCAATATAGCGACAGATGTTCGATTTGTACCCTGAAATTGCCCAATTTAAAGAACAACGTTCTTGTGTATATCCAACGAAGATGATCGTGGAATTCTGAACGTTTGTCCCAGTAAACTCACAAGACGGTCATTTGCACATTATCTTGATTTTCATTTTTTTATTCACGATAATTTCGAATCGTTCAACATTCTGTGTGATGACAAGGATTTCATTATTTCGTGCTATATATATGCTCTCAGTCCGTGAGTTTTCGAGAAATATTGAGTGTTCCAGAAAAATGGCCAATGTTTTCGTCATGTTGGTCCATAATTTGAAACAAAAATGCAATAATTCCACATGATCCTAAACATTATATTGTTATTTTTGTATTCTGTAAGTCGCTTCAGCGATTTTTAATTTCCAGCTAAAAATTGAGAAACCTTGGCTATTTCGACTCCGTATGTGCTAATGCACATGCTCCGACCTTTTCGCACAAGGTGTTTAATTTACACACAATTTCGCTCCTTTTGTCTTTTTTTTTGGCGATGATAATTAAATTGCCCTTTTTTTCTAACTATCCATTCAGTTTCCTCGAAACATCACTGAAGTAAAGTTGAACATTGTCACTAAAGAAAACCAAATGGAGAACACTACGTCCCTAAAATAATCTAGTAAATTATACCTGAAACCATCCCATAGAATCTAACGCGGCAAGTCACTTTCAGTTTAATATCAGAAATCATAACAATGATTTGTTTGATTTCGATTTGTATGAAACTTTACTCCTATACGTCTCTCCGCTCCGCCGTGTTTTGTGACCAATGACTCGGGAGCATTTCGGCAGAGCTCAGAGAGCTTTGTTCGGTGGAAAAACACATTACAAATTGGCACAACGTCAAGATATCTGAAATTGAGCAGTTGGATCACTGACGATTCCCTGATTTTGAAGTTTCAAACTGGCATTTGCTACTTTGAATACTTAAGTCTATTGCTAAACAATAGCAATAATTTAATTCTGTGTCAGACACCAAAACTATCAGGTCGACCACTTTCCAATAAAAATAAATTACGCCAAATTATCGAGACAGTTTTCATTCAAACGTGAATTTGAAAAATCACCTACGATCTATAATTTTGAAAGAACACTCGCCATAAGGTGGATACTTGCCATAATACGTGTTCATATTATGAACAAAAATTTGATTTTTTTTTTTTAATTTATTTGCAGATGAGGCTGAAATATTTCAGAAAGCCAGATTTTTTTTTGTTAATCAAAAACTCATTTCTGAGTTCATGAGTCATTTATGAGTTTCATTTACGAAAAATTTCTCCATATCCTGCATTGAGGAAATATGAAGTCGTTGTGTGTGACGCAAGTAATATCAGAGTCACGGTCGAATTTTCATTCAGGAATAAAAGATTAAGAATATTTTCACTCATTTCTCAGCCAAATGAAGATTCCATTAAACACAGTTAATACCTTTAAAATATTACAAAGAGAAGTTTCTCCTAAGTGCAGAAGTTCTAAGCTAAGTTCGGGCATAGTGTCTTCAACTATGCAAAGTCTAATTGTTCGGCATGTTTAAACATCCAGTGCAGTAAGCTTCTTTCCCTCCACACATTTTCATATTTCCGTTAGATTTTTGACCCAGTCAACCAGAAGATTTTCAGACCAAAGAAGTTGATCACATCATCATAGAATTATTGCTTCAGTATCGTCTGGCTCTCTTTGATGTTTCTCTCTCCAAGAAGATCCGAAGCATCTACCATTTTTTTGCCTTGTAGGGATTTTTTTCAGTTGAAGCCTAGACTACAAGATGATTATTACAAATTCAAAATAAATCTTTTAACTTTTTATCACCATACCACAGCATCCCTTCCACTGCATCAAATAGCATTTTACAGTTTTTCCCAGTCATCAATAACATCTCGATAGTCATTAGAGACCCGCTTTATCGTCTGGGCGAATTAAATATTTGTTGTTTCAGAAATTAACAATCAACCTAGCCATGTTTCCGAGTGGAACTCCAACATGGTAAGCAACAATATTATTAAATTACAAACACCGACCTGTTTCGCCCAACCATATTTGTAAAATGTATTTTCACCCGGACAAAGACCCCACCAACGTACGAAATCCCTGCCCAGTGTAGCCGCTGATTGGCAAACTAAACTTGGCGCACAAAATGTTTCCTGCAATCAACAGAAACATCAGTCGGCGAATCAGAAACAATTAGCGGTGTCTGTCAGTTGACTGGCCGCGTCGCACTCGCTTGGCACGGTGCTCGCCAGATTACAGTGATATCGAAATGCAGTCAGAAGTTCACGGGAAAAGGCTATTTCCGCGGCATTAAGAAAAAAAGTTTCTCTGCGGAAAAGCCTCTAAGTCCGTAATATTTAGCCTTTATACTGGAGTCTGGGACTCGGAAGCTAATTGGTGTTGGCAATTTGGCATCGGTGGGGTTCTCGAAGTGAATTCGGACATGTACTACAAACATTTTACATAAATCATTTTCTCTGTATTTAGGTGCCTGTTTTGAGCCTCTCATCCTTTGTAAGAAGGTGACTATTTCTTAAAAAGAAATTCACTAAAAATCCAACCTAAACGGTCATATTGATATTTTGTGTCCTCTTATACAAAATGATGAACTCAAAACAGTTTAGAACACATTTTTCGATGTGTTTGTTCTGATTATAACATTGCAAGATTTCTCCCTTGTTTTATATGTTCCTGTTACCTGTACGAGTGAGCACACTACTTGAACTACATTGAGGATTTGAAAGTCTGTAGTATGGTGCTCATGACTCTCCATAATTAGCCGATGCAGTCCACCTTGTAAAACTTGAGACCAACATTAATACAGCTCGTGTCAAATCACACCTCTTTTCAACGGTGAATGCAGTTATGACTTTGTGATTGCATTGCATTGTTGAGAAAGTGTATTATATCGGCCACCTTCGGAATGTTATAATTCTATTCCACCAACCCTTCCTCACGCAGCGAGTGCTACGCGATGTACAGACAACTCTCCTATGCGTTCCTACAAAGATAGATGACAAGCTAGCATTATTTATGTCTCGCCGATATTAAACAATCTAGTTAAGTCTCTTTTTTTAACTACCCGGCAACACTTGAGAGGACATCTCATCAATTCTCCGGCCGAGGCGTTAGGACAGAAGTGCGGCCATCATCAAAACCATCTGTGACTCCTTAGTAAAGTCATTTGGAAACAGTTGACATTATTATTCGTTCTGGGGGGATGAAGCAGGCAATTACTACCCGTGACAGTTACGCTACGTGGGGCACTGGACCGGAGCGGTGTAAAGGGACTCAGCCGAAGCCTGCCCACGGACGACCCGGCACTAGTCCGCTAAAAAAACCAAAACGCTTCAGTGAAAGAGTCAATACATCTCGCGTCATTACCCCGTTGATTTAGCCGTGATAGGGCCTCGTTCGAGTCTATTAGTTACGGACAGATGTCCGCGGAGTTAATATTGCCTTATGCGGTGTGTGTTGTTACAGATCGAGTATATACCGGTGTATGATAATGATAATAACGGACTCTGTTTATGATATTGAGTTGGGGACACTTCCTCATTGCACCGGGACAGCGAGCGAGGCAGTCACGGCGTATTGGGTCTCAGTCCCGAGCGGCTTGACTAGCCGTGTTAACCACGAGGACCGTAGGTTGAAATTGATGACATTTATGGCTGTTGCCATCTTGGTCGTAATTACAATGTGATTATTGCTCTCTCCATCTTACATGATGAAGTTAACAATCCTCGTGCGGATGAGTAAGGATGCATCATCGAGGGCCAAGCAAACAAAATGCACGGTTACGAAACTTCAATATCAAGACAGGGACATGTTGACAACGCTACAAAATTCAGACCTGGTTCCCTATATCTGCAACACAAGTGTATACGTAGATTTATAAGTGATGTTAGAACTCTTTTTACAGAATAAACCCAATCATGTTTCCCTATACATGCCACAAATACACAATCTATACCAACGGCTATCAAATTAATGAAATCCAATGGAAGCGTAGAAAGATGTGACACGTTTTGAATGCGTAGAAATTGCGAAGTAATCACTTGAACTTCGGTCGGCCAACTTCGAAACTTTAAACACGGCTTTTCGCATTAATAAAATGAAGAACTTTTGTGTAACGCTTCAATGTTGGGGGTGCCTTGTGAGAATTCGCTTTAATTTTAATCAAATGCACAAACCAAATACTGACTGTGGAGTCTTTGTAAATAATGACGTGACTACAAAAATTCACAGAAACACTGAGCATCGTTTAATGCAATGTTTATGCAT